GAGAAGCCTCCCATTCCCTCCCCCCCCCCCCCCCGCCCTCCCTCCCCCTTCCCACTCCATCCTCCTCCGCCTCGCCCCTGCCCACCGCCCCCAGTCTCCGGAGCCGCCGAGCGCTGCCCATCGCCTCTCCGCCCTCCGCCGTCCCTCCCGCGGCAGCTCCGCCGGCGCCGGCGGAGGCAGCAGCGGAGCGAGGGGCGGCCCCGGGGCCGCTGCCCCCTTCCCCGCCGCGGGGGTGTGCGGGCATCGCCGGGGGTGCGCGGAGCGCGGAGCGGAGCCCGGCGCCGCCTCCATGTTCCAGCTGCCCATCCTCAATTTCAGCCCGCAGCAGGTGGCCGGGGTATGCGAGACCCTGGAGGAGAGCGGGGACATCGAGCGCCTGGGGCGCTTCCTCTGGTCCCTGCCCGTGGCCCCCGCGGCCTGCGAGGCGCTCAACAAGAACGAGTCGGTGCTGAGAGCCCGGGCCATCGTGGCCTTCCACACGGGGAACTACCGGGAGCTCTACCACATCCTGGAGAACCACAAGTTCACCAAGGAGTCCCACGCCAAACTGCAAGCCCTCTGGCTGGAAGCGCACTACCAGGAGGCGGAGAAGCTGCGGGGTCGACCCCTGGGGCCGGTGGACAAGTACAGGGTGAGGAAGAAGTTCCCGCTGCCCCGCACCATCTGGGACGGCGAGCAGAAGACACATTGCTTCAAGGAGCGGACGAGGCATTTGCTGCGGGAGTGGTACCTGCAGGACCCTTACCCCAACCCCAGCAAAAAGCGGGAACTGGCTCAGGCCACGGGACTTACTCCCACGCAAGTGGGCAACTGGTTCAAAAACCGCAGGCAAAGGGACAGGGCAGCAGCCGCTAAGAACAGGTAAGGTGCTGCCCGTCCCGTCGGGGCACAGGAACCCCCCTTAGCGAGCCTTCGTGGGGGGGGCGGTGCGAGACTGCCGGCAGAGGATGGGCGAAACGAGCCCGGGAGGTTTTTCCCCGGGAAATGCAGCGAGATAAAGCAGGAGCAGCGGGAAAACCCTAGGGGTTTTAAATGACCTGGTTTTAATAGGGGAGGGTCCCCGCCCCGGCTGCCCCTTGGCCGCCCTGGAGGGAGCGGGGAGAGGGAGCGTGAGAGGGGCCGCCCGGAGCCGCCGTGACCCCGGCGGGAGCTGGAGTGTTCAGGGCCGTGTTCAGGGGCTGAGCGGAGAGAAATCCCCTTCAAAGTTTTGCCCGGACATATAGATACCTCTTTGAGGTACGTCCATCCTGAGCAGAGCCGGCCATGCCCTCTGCGGGCCCTGCCAGAGCCTCCGTGCCCTGTTCCTCTGCTGGAGCCAGCCGCGAACATTCCTCGGGATATTGCTCTTATTTCTATTCTTTAAAAATATATTAAAGAACAAAATCGCAGCTCTAAATGGGCAGCGTTACCCCAATACTAGTGACACAAACAGACGTTCCGGGAAGCGTGGAAGGGAGCAGAGTCTCCCCATTATGTCCTCTCCATGATCCCTGGGAAATTCCCGTTGTCACCCCTCAGCCGGGCTGCCGCAAGTCAGGGACGTGGCTGCCATCACCTGCAGCCCCTTTTTGTAGGCTGAGGGAACATGTAAGGCCTGCTGGAGGGGAGCCGCCGCCCGGGAGATGCTGCAAGGAATTACCGAGCGCTCGGATGAGGCCCGGTCTAGGGACAGGCTGCGGAGGAGGGGGACAGCCTTCCCCCGGGTGTGCCAGCCGACGAGCGGGGTTGACCCTGAGGTGGGCACCCAGTTTCTCATCTCAGCTCTGCCTGAGAAACTGCGTGTCCACCCAGCTCCTCTCCTGTCGCTGGTGTAACTGGTGTGAGCTGGAGGCTGCGGGCAGCGGCTCGGGGGTGCAAGTCGGGGGAGCCCTCAGTGGGGTCGCAGGGGGCTGCCGGCGGGCCCGGGGGTGCGGAGGGCGGGCGGTGATGGTGTGTGTGCCGGTTCCTTGCAGGCTACAGCAGCAGGTCCTAACGCAGGGCTCGGTGCGCTCGCTGCAAGCGGAGGAGGAGAGCGGCGGGGAGGCGGTGGGGGCCGCCTCCAGCCCCGCAGCCAGCCTCTCCAGCAAAGCGGCCACCTCCGCCATCTCCATCACATCCAGCGACAGTGAATGTGACATCTGACACCACCGCCATGGCAATGCGGGGGCAGCGGCAGGCCCGGCTCACCGGTGCCTGCCCGCACGGCCGGAGCAGCGGGGCTGGCAGTGCCCGGCCGCGGGAGCCAAACCCGGGGTGCGGGGCGCTCCCCCGCCGCCCGCCCGCGCCTCCCTCCCAGTCCCGCAACAGACTGCATTAAAAAACGTCATTGAAATCGTTGTCGCCTTTACTTCGACGGATTTGCAGAATTTATGCCTAAAAAAAAAAAAAAAAGTAACTAAATAAAGCCCAGAAAACGAAAAATAATAATCAACAAGAAAACCGAATGCCAAGTCGGAAAATGTCTGAGCGCCTGCCCTTATCCCGCGAGGGTGTTTCATGTCGAAAAGACGCTGTTCTTTTGGTTGGGTTTTGCTTTACTTTAAAGGGGTTTTTTTATATATATATATATATAATGTTTATTTACTTATTTAAGGGATTGCTATGGTAGATTTTTTCTATTATTATTATTATTAATTATTATTATTTTTGGCTTGTTCTCTATGTGCACAGGTGACTTGTAGAGCATGTGCAGGACGAAACTGTATGAAGCAGCCTAAAACCATAATAAAATATTTGGTGAACGACCCTCGCATCTGCTTTGAAATGACGGTGTCGGTCTCAAGCCCGCCAGTTTACGCAGAGCAGATCTCCGAGGCCACGGGTATTTCAGCATCAGCTCGGCAGGAACCGAACTAGCGGGTCCCCAGGACCGAGGGTGATGTCTTTGCCAGGCAGGGAGCGGGGGGCAGCCGGGATGAGGGGAAGAGTGAGGGGAAGGGTCTGGCGGGGGATGCGGGTGCCCAGGGAAGGGAAGGAGGCGGCATCGCTGCTGCTTCTCCTCTCCCAAGGGCTGAAGCTTTGCGGATTATCGCGGCCAATGTTCGGACAGAGACGAGGAAAAAAGGGGAAAAAAAAAAAACATTAAAATGGAGAGATATGGTTGGGGCACAGCCCAGCCGGGGAAACTAACCTCCTCCTTCACCTGGCAAAGGCAAGGAGAAGATGGGGAAATAACCATGCCAAGGAAGGACCCGATTAGGGGCGAAATAGCCCCAAATCGCGGCCTCTGAGATGTGCCAGGGGTTGTCCCCACCATCCGCCTCCGTCGCTTTGTCTTGCGGCGGTTTTGCTGGAGGAAACCAAACGCCAGGTTCAAGGAGCGTGCTAAGCTTTTTCCCCCCAGCAGAAGGATTTTATATTATACAATTTGACATTGATCTTTAAATCGCCTGAGCTGTGCTTTTTTTGTCTTCTCGGTCTCATCGCGTTTACTTCCCTGTCCTCAGAGAGATGCCTCCCCGGTAAGCTGATTGCTCTGCTCGTTTTATTTAGCAGCCGAAGCCTGGCACCGGGCAGCGCTGGGAGCGGGAGATGCCGCGGCTCCCTGCAAGGGCAGCGGCCGGGGAGGCACAGGGGCATTTATTTCGGCTCCTTGATAGTTTAATTCAGTCCTGCTGCCTTTTATCGGGAGGTATATCTCTGTCTCGGCAGTGGCTTTTCCCCCTCTGTCTGAAATTGAATTTAAAGGCCGGATTCAAGGCGTTTATACCGCCGATGCCTGAATCTGCTTTCCGCCCCCGAATGCATGTGCCTTGGTTTTCCTTATAGACGGTTTCAGGGATAGGGCAGGCAGCAGGAATTTATTAGCTGTTTTCCAAGCTTATTTACAAGCAGCTATTTCCTTGGTGGGGTGTAATCGAAGGTGTCGGAGGGGGCAAACGAGCTGTATGTTGGGAGCGCGGGAGGAGCGGATCGCAGGGCGGGGAGCGGGGGCAGTGCGGGGGTTTCCACCTGCCTTTAGGGTACGTACCTGCGGGAGCGTCCGGACCAGCACACCTTGCATCCCAAACCCTGAGGTGTTTTTGCCTCTTAAACCCCACCGGATTAAAGCCGTGCAAGAGGAGCCCGGCTTTGCTGTTTTAACCTCAGAAAAGGAGTGAGTTTTACCTTGGGTTTGGGGTTCGCTGGCGAGCAGCGCTTCTCACCCACGAGGTAGTTTTGAGAGCAAACTCGCTCTCAAAACGGAATCTGCTGAAACACGTCGTGTTCTTCCTTTCTTTTCTTCCCCGGGAGTCGGTGAAGCGGATTGCAATTTCTCCATCGGCTTCTGCGGGCAGAGCAGTAGCGCTTATTGTGGGGAATTAAAGCTTTCAAAGACATATAAAGAGAGTGGAGAATTATATAAGCATATGCGCTCAGCGTCTGGTAACGTGGAATTTCTCTCCAACTAAAAAAAAAAAAACAAAACTGGGATTTGGACAATAGGCAGCGGGGATAATATTGTCTCTTTCGACAAAGGGTTTAAGTGTCATGAAGGATGCGGGATCTCCCGAGTGGGCTGTGGAGGGGCTTTCCCGCGGATGCTCGTGGCGAGACCATGAACCAACCCCCTTCCGAAACAGTGTCCGGGGCAGGAAGCGGAGCACGGAGCCCACTTGGGAAGAGCAGCCCCGCTTCCCGGCCTTGCTTACTGTGGGTGATCGGGAGAACCGAGGGTCTCCCAGTGCTTATTCCCCGTCGGAGCTCCGCAGGGGCTGGAGTCTTGGGGCTGCACCGACGCCTTTAGTTCTACCGATAAGACTCAAAAAAGAAAAACGCTTCCCAACACCCCCCCCTTTTTTTTCTTCTGCCCTTTCCCTTCCCTTATTGAAAGTGCATGCCCTTCTCGTGGCATTTTCAACATTTTTTCCCCTAAAGATCAGCCCAAGCTGTCGCCCTCCTGAGCCTTTGGTTGTTTTAAAAATAATGATAATTATGAACGGGGAAGAGTGGAGAAGCTTGTATTTACATTAAACAAAACGCTCCGAAAAGGGTCACTAAAAAGTCTACCTTGACCCCTCTCTCTCCGGTTTAACAAAGAAGGAAAATATTGTATCAAAAGTGAACTGAATGGATAAGGAGGAGAAGAGAAACAGCTTTTCCTCTCTTCAGCTGGGAAGGGGGGGAGAAATGTTTGAATATTTCCGTTTCTTTTGAGAAGCGGGGCAGCCCCGGGCAGGGCTGAATGGGAAAGTCTTGTAAGCGGGCTGGGAGGCTGTCAAACTGCTCAGAGTAATCACTGCTAATGAAGGGGTCTCCAGCCCTCCCTGGGACAAAGGATGCTTACGAGTGCTCGCCGGGGCTGAATACCTAATAAGTTTGCAAGGGGGAAAAATGAGTGAGCTGTCCGTAAATTGATTTTGCAAGAGCAAAAAAAAAAAAAAAAAAAAAAAAAAAAAAAAAAAAAAAAAAAAAAAAAACCAAACCAAAACAAGACAAACAAAAAAACCCCCAACAACAACAAAAAAAGGAGATGGAAAGGCTCGTAGGTTTGGGAGAGCCTGGCCCCGGTGCAGCTGGGGACAGAAGGCCCACTTATCCGGGGTGCATTGTCCCAGCCCCACAGAGGAAGGCTGCTGCTGTTTGCAGTGGAGACTGGGGTGGAGAGAGGGCTGGGGGGTTGCAGGAGCCTTGGAAAAGCCTCTCCAGGCCGGGAGCACTGCCCCAGCTGCTGCCTGGCACACGCGGGTGCTCCCCGCACGCCCATCTTCGCGCTCCAGTTTGCACAAGCCTTGCAGAGCGTTCATCCCATCCCCATCCCGCAGCCCAGTCCCACAGAAGGGACTGTTCCCTTTTTTGTTCTGCCACTGCCTTTTGTCCCTCATCTAACTATGGTGTTTTCCTTGTCGAACAGAAAAAGAGGGATGTCTGGAAAGCTGCCAAATATCGCAACACCACCAGCACCCTGCTCGCCTGGGAGGGCTCCTGTACGAAGGAGCTCTGGCTCTGGCCTGCTGGCCTGGAGCTGGGTGCTGTCAGAGGTTAGAAAGGGGGCTGGGTTCGTGGGTGAGCGTCCTTGTGTGACAAGAAGAGCGTGTGTGTCGTGGCTGTGGGAAGCAGGAGAGTGAGCCGCATTTTGGACCTTTCACGCATCCAATTAAAGGCTTGGGAGGATCAGACTATCACAGATCCAGTTACCCCTGGCCGGTGCAGGGGTAATACCATGAGAGAGAGCGTAATACTCCCCAGGGATGTCTGCACCCACATGTCAGCAATGCCAGGCACTGGCTCTTCCATGCTTGTGTTATTTCTTTTCCAGGAGAAGATCCAAATGTGTTTGCTGGAGGGGAGGATGGAAGTGTGGGAGGCCAAAGGGAAAGGGCAATGTGGAATGAAGAAGATGCCAAACTTTGAACTGTCCTCTCCCTTGTCACTTCCCCAAGGCCATCCTGCAGCCCCAGCACCCACAAAGGATCCTGAACCCTGGGCTGACCTTGGTCTGCCCCTCCCAAGGGGGGCCCAGAGGGTGAGACCTAGCTGGGAATACAGGAATGAAAAATTTCATCTTAGTTCCTCTGAGGGTTACAGCACTTTGCACTCCATCAGCTTTTATTCTTGGCATCGGGGTGACAGATAAAACCTTTGGATTTCTGCTCCCTTCTGTTTCAGAACAGGCTGCAAGACCCCCAGTAAAAGGCCAAGAAAGGGCTTCCCTTCTTTCGTCACTTCCTACACCCATTCTAGGTCGCCCATCTCCCCCCAAAATGCAGAAATTCCCTAGAAAGCTCATTTTAACCCTGCTACCTTCTTATCTGTGACATGAGCCTCTCTGGCACACATATTCCCCCTCAAGAAATACAGCTTGGAGGGAAATTCCCAGCTTCAAACTTTATAAAAGCAAAGTTTGTTCACCTCTGCCTCTTCGCAGAGGTGGGGGAGAGGCACTGTTGGCCCATGATCCTGTTAATTGCCTCCCTACACTTAACAGACAGCCCTGGAGCATCACCCCTCATCACTGTTTCCACTATTTTTGTCCCAGAAGTCCTAAAAATGGTGCCAATCACCCAGTGCTCTCCTGTCACAGCTCCTCTCCCACTGTATGGAGTAAAACCCAAGGGGCTTGTCCTGTACCTTGGGATTGCCCCGTAATGCTGAGCTAAACCCACCCCTGTGAGTGACCCTCACACACAGCATGGGCAGGATGGGATCCTCATCCTCCCCACTCACTGCTGGGGAAAAGCATCTCCT